TCAGTCATTCTTCACAGCCGGGTCCATTTCTGATGTTTGCATGACCTGAGCCAGTGGAAATGTCATACATGCCTGAAGATACCTTATAAATGAAGGGATCGAAGTGTTTAAGTTGACCTATTATCGCCCCCCACCCCCTTAATGAATTTTAAGACCTGGTCCAAAAACCATGACTTGGTCCACTCTTCTCTGGTCTTGAGGGACAGGGACTCTTATACATGCCTGGGAAAGCTGCACCCACATGTCAGGTTCCATCCGCTCCCCAACCCTGCCAACAGCTGCCTCTGCCTATGGGTGCACATCTGCACCTGCCCCCACGCCCTGCTAACAGCTGCCTCTGCCTATGGGCGCACATCTGCACCTGCCTCCACGCCCTGCCAACAGCTGCCTCTACCTATGGGCGCACATCTGCACCTGCCTCCACGCCCTGCCAACAGCTGCCTCTGCCTATGGGTGCACATCTGCACCTCCCCCCACGCCCTGCCAACAGCTGCCTCTGCCTATGGGTGCACATCTGCACCTGCCCCCACGCCCTGCCAACAGCTGCCTCTACCTATGGGCGCACATCTGCACCTGCCCCCACGCCGTGCCAACAGCTGCCTCTGCCTATGGGTGCACATCTGCACCTGCCTCCACGCCCTGCCAACAGCTGCCTCTACCTATGGGCGCACATCTGCACCTGCCCCCACGCCCTATGAACAGCTGCCTCTGCCTATGGGTGCACATCTGCACCTGCCCCCACGCCCTGCCAACAGCTGCCTCTGCCTATGGGTGCACATCTGCACCTGCCTCCCCGCCCTGCCAACAGCTGCCTCTACCTATGGGCGCACATCGCACCTGCCCCCACGCCCTGCCAACAGCTGCCTCTGCCTATGGGTGCACATCTGCACCTGCCCCCACGCCCCTGCCAACAGCTGCCTCTGCCTATGGGCCATCTGCACCTGCCTCCACGCCCTGCCAACAGCTGCCTCTGCCTATGGGTGCACATCTGCACCTGCCCCCACGCCCTGCCAACAGCTGCCTCTGCCTATGGGTGCACATCTGCACCTGCCTCCACGCCCTGCCAACAGCTGCCTCTGCCTATGGGTGCACATCTGCACCTGCCCCCACGCCCTGCCAACAGCTGCCTCTGCCTATGGGTGCACATCTGCACCTGCCTCCACGCCCTGCCAACAGCTGCCTCTGCCTATGGGTGCACATCTGCACCTGCCCCCACGCCCTGCCAACAGCTGCCTCTGCCTATGGGTGCACATCTGCACCTGCCCCCACGCCCTATGAACAGCTGCCTCTGCCCATGGGCGCACATCTGCACCTGCCCCCACGCCCTGCCAACAGCTGCCTCTGCCTATGGGTGCACATCTGCACCTGCCTCCACGCCCTGCCAACAGCTGCCTCTGCCTATGGGTGCACATCTGCACCTGCCTCCACGCCCTGCCAACAGCTGCCTCTGCCCATGGGTGCACATCTGCACCTGCCTCCACGCCCTGCCAACAGCTGCCTCTGCCCATGGGCGCACATCTGCACCTGCCCCCACGCCCTGCCAACAGCTGCCTCTGCCTATGGGTGCACATCTGCACCTGCCTCCACGCCCTGCCAACAGCTGCCTCTGCCTATGGGTGCACATCTGCACCTGCCCCCACGCCCTATGAACAGCTGCCTCTGCCCATGGGTGCACATCTGCACCTGCCTCCACGCCCTGCCAACAGCCGCCTCTGCCTATGGGTGCACATCTGCACCTCCCCCACGCCCTATGAACAGCTGCCTCTGCCTATGGGTGCACATCTGCACCTGCCTCCACGCCCTGCCAACAGCTGCCTCTGCCCATGGGTGCACATCTGCACCTGCCTCCACGCCCTATGAACAGCTGCCTCTGCCTATGGGTGCACATCTGCACCTGCCTCCACGCCCTGCCAACAGCTGCCTCTGCCCATGGGTGCACATCTGCACCTGCCTCCACGCCCTGCCAACAGCTGCCTCTGCCCATGGGTGCACATCTGCACCTGCCTCCACGCCCTGCCAACAGCTGCCTCTGCCCATGGGTGCACATCTGCACCTGCCTCCACGCCCTGCCAACAGCTGCCTCTGCCTATGGGTCCACATCTGCACCTGCCTCCACGCCTGCCAACAGCTGCCTCTGCCTAGGGTGCACATCTCACTTCCCCACGCCCGCCAACAGCCGCCTCTGCCTATGGGCGCACATCTGCACCTGCCTCCACGCCCTGCCAACAGCCGCCTCTGCCTATGGGTGCACATCTGCACCTGCCTCCACGCCCTGCCAACAGCCGCCTCTGCCTATGGGCGCACATCTGCACCTGCCTCCACGCCCTGCCAACAGCTGCCTCTGCCTATGGGTGCACATCTGCACCTGCCCCCACGCCTGCCAACAGCTGCCTCTGCCTATGGGTGCACATCTGCACCTGCCCCACGCCTGCAACAGCTCTGCTCCTGCCTATGGTGCACATCTGCACCTGCCTCCACGCCCTGCCAACAGCTGCCTCTGCGTATGGGTGCACATCTGCACCTTCCCCCACGCCCTGCCAACAGCTGCCTCTGCCTATGGGTGCACATCTGCACCTTCCCCCACGCCCTGCCAACAGCTGCCTCTGCCTATGGGTGCACATCTGCACCTGCCCCCACGCCCTGCCAACAGCTGCCTCTGCCTATGGGTGCACATCTGCACCTGCCCCCACGCCCTGCCAACAGCTGCCTCTGCCTATGGGTGCACATCTGCACCTTCCCCCACGCCCGCCAACAGCTGCCTCTGCCTATGGGGAAAATCTGGCACCTTCCTCCACCGGCCCTGCCAACAGCTGCCTCTGCGTAAAATCGGGTGCACATCTGCACCTTCCCCACGCCCTGCCAACAGCTCTGCCATCTCGCCTATGGGTGCACATCTGCACCTTCCCCCACCCCTGCAACAGCTGCCTCTGCGTATGGTGCACATCTGCACCTTCCCCCCCGCCCTGCCAACAGCTGCCTCTGCCTATGGGTGCACATCTGCACCTGCCCCCACGCCCTGCCAACAGCTGCCTCTGCGTATGGGTGCACATCTGCACCTTCCCCACGCCCTGCCAACAGCTGCCTCTGCCTATGGGTCCACATCTGCACCTTCCCCCACACCCTGCCAACAGCTGCCTCTGCCTATGGGTGCACATCTGCACCTGCCCCCCACGCCCTGCCAACACTGCCTCTGCCTAGGGTGCACATCTGCACCTGTCCCCCACGCCCTGCCAACAGCTGCCTCTGCCTATGGGTGCACATCTGCACCTTCCTCCACGCCCTGCCAACAGCTGCCTCTGCCTATGGGTGCACATCTGCACCTGCCCCCACGCCCTGCCAACAGCTGCCTCTGCCTATGGGTGCACATCTGCACCTCCCCCCACTCCCTGCCAACAGCTGCCTCTGCCTATGGGTGCACATCTGCACCTCCCCCCACGCCCTGCCAACAGCTGCCTCTGCCTATGGGTGCACATCTGCACCTCCCCCCACGCCCTGCCAACAGCTGCCTCTGCCTATGGGTGCACATCTGCACCTCCCCCCACGCCCTGTCAACAGCTGCCTCTGCTTATGGGTGCACATCTGCACGGTCAGCTCCTGAGAGGACCCTGGAGCGCAGTGTAGAAAGGAGGTGCATAGGCCACCTTCCTCGTGTTTCCTGAACCCCTTTTTCCAGTGGGGAGGAGTCTGGCCAGAGGAGGGCCAGAATGGGGCCCTCTAAACTCAGGAGACCTGGGTGGAGGCCTCTGCTGCCCAGATCTAAGGTGCCATTGCTCTTGTCAGTGCCAGAAGGTAAATATTCTTTTCCCATGTGCACACGAGACTTGTGCCAAAGTTGCTCAAGGTCATAACACACTAAGTGTGGAGCTGGGCTCTGACCCCCACCCCCGTGAGCCCCGTACTGTCAAGCCACCAGGAAAGGCAGAGTCTCCCCGACAAACACACAGTCCGCATTTCCCACAGCCTCGAGGGGTCCCTCGGAAGCCCTGCAGGGACCCCAGGTTAAGAAGGTAGGTAGGTGGTGGGGAGCCATTGGGGGTGGGGGGCTGTAGCAGGGGTCAGGCCATGAGGAGGGAACAGGTTTCCAAGTTTGAACCAGTTCTCGGACCTGAAAAGAAGGGGCGTCGGGAAAGCAGACGGATTTGCTGTGGAGGGAGGAAGTTAGATGGAGATCAGACGGTAGTGACCAGACGACCCGGAGCGCTCCTCCCTCTTAACTCGAGACAGTGTGGGGAAAAGGCTGGCAGCCCCGGGACCCGGCCGACCCCCAGACCCGGCGCCCAAAAGAGGGGCCGAGGGAGAATCCCGGGTTCTGAAGGAGGGCACAGCCTGAGGGGGGCCTCCCAGGTGGGAGAACCAGACGTGGGGCGCTGGGAAGGTGGGGCAGGGCTCGGGTCCCCGTCTGGCCCGGATCCCTAACCAGGAGCACCCCGATTTCTGCGGGCTGTAGGAAGAAACGGGAGCGGTTAGGCGGTGGGCCACGCAGTGTGCAAGCAGAAGCTGGGCTCCTGGAGCGGGCACGCGTGGTTCCTCCCGGGCGCACAGGGCAAGAGCGCACACGCCCCCCGGCTGCGGCAGTGCCAGCCGCGGACACCCGAGCGGTCCCTTCGGCGCCCCGAGGGGGGAGCCGCTATCCCACCCGTGTTCCCCAAAGTACCACCACGCAGCCGTCCACACCGCGGAAGCTCCATCTCTCCGCCCCCCAAACTAGCCTCCTGACCGGCGGCCGGCGACCCCGCAGTGCCCGCCGCAGTGCCCAGCCCGGGCCGGAGCGGAGCGGCGGCTCCCAGCTCCCGGAGCGCCAGCGGGCGCGCGGGCAAGTTCGCAGCGGGCGGGGCCGGGCTCCGCGGCGGCCGCCTCCCCTCCTGCGGCTGGAGCGCCTCCAGGCTCCGCGCAGCGACGCCGGCCTCGCGCTCCGGCCCTGCTCCTCCCCGGCTCCTCCCCCGCCCCCGCCCCGCGCTCGCCCCGCGAACTTTCCCGAGCCCCTGCGGGCGGCACGGAGCTCCCGGCAGCGTGGGGCCCACTGCGGACCGCGGGCTGCCCGCTCGGCCGTGCCCCGTGTGCCATCCCCGCCCCCCTGGCGCGCTCCGCAGAGAACAGAACGATGCCCGGGGCTGGGGGCCGAGGCGCAGCCTGGGCGAGATGGCTGGGCACTGGGATTTGGGGTAAGGCAGCCCCGGCGCCCCCCCCCCCCCCGGGAGGAAGGGACACTTGGAAAAGCGGTGCCTGGAAGGGGGTGGGCTTTGGAGTGCGGCGCGGAGCGGGCGCCGCTGCGCTGGCTTCCTGCCCGAGCCCGGCTGGCTCGGCGGTGCCCCGGGGACCTGCGCGTCCCCCGCCCCACCGCTGCCCCCTCGCGAGGAGTTCTTGGCTCTTTGGCGCCTTCGGCTGCGGACGTCTGGAGCCGGATCTCGGGGCTGCAGTGCGGTCTCCCAAGTTCAGAGGTTGGGGTGTGCTGGGGAGGGTGCCTGTACCTCGGGCGTAGGGAACGCGGGCGCTTTGCACGTGGGGTGGTGGTTCGTACCCCTGCCGGGAGCTGCGTGCCGCTTGGATACTCGGGACCCAGGCATCGGACATACAAGGGGGGCTCCCCCTCCTCCTGACCCTTTTCCTATTTGGCTCCTCTGCCCTCCACCCCCTTCAATGCCCATCCTTCTGCACTTAGCTCCACACTAAGACCTGCAGGGGGTTGGAGGGACTTGGAAGATGGACCAAGCCCCCTTTTAGGAAGGGTGGTGTCTCTCCTCTTATACAGAGTCCTAGGGAGGGCTTGTCTACTTGCTCCTGGCTCTTTTGTCGGTTTTGTTCGTTCTCACCCGAGGATATTTTTCCATTGTTTATTTTTTTAGATAGAGTGGAAGGGAGGGAGGGAGGGAGGGAGGGAGGGCAGGGGAGAGGAGGGAGAGAGAGAGAGAGAGAGAGAGAGAGACATCAATTGGTTGCCTCCCACAGGACCTCTGACTAGGGTGAAGATTGAACCAGCAACCCAGGTGCGTGCCCTTGACTGTAATTGAACCCGAGACCCTTCAGTCTGCAGGCCGACGCTCTAACTGCCGGCCAGGGCTGGCTCTTCATTTCTGGGGTGAATATGAAGATTGAGGAGACATGCAGAGGTCCCAGGAGCAGAGTGCACATGAGTTTGGAGTGTCAAACAAGGAGGGATTAGGGAATGGGGCTCATGAGGCCAGAAGATAATTTCGTAAGTCCTAGGTGGATTTCAGTGTAAGCCGACTCCGTCCCTGGCACCTGCACCGCTTCCTGTTTATACTGCTCAGCTTTGGCTTGTAGCAGCTGCCCCCCTGGGTTAGGCAGTGATGGAGGCAGTGGTGCCGAAGGCAGGAGACAAACCTGTAAGGGCAGCCGCGCTGTTTCTGCAGACGGGAAGCGTGCCGAGCCCGTGTGCCGAGCCCGTGTGCCGAGCCCGTGTGCCGAGCCGGCCCGTCGGCTCCTGGTAGTGGAGGGGGTCCAGTGTTTCTTTACTGGGGAGCCACTGATTTAGCTGCACCCCTCACGCTAGCTAGGTTCACCCCGCACAGCTGTGTGCTGGTTTCCCAGTGACCCCAGAGAAAGGGACCTCTGTGAGGCCTGAGGCCCCTCGCGGGCTGGGCAGAGCCACCTCACTAGCTCCCCTCACCTCATCTCTGATGGGTCAGGTTCCCGCTGCGACTCTGGGGGGGTCAGGGGTTACCGGGGAACTCAAAGCCACGGTCATTAAACCAGCCCCTGTCAGCATGTCCTGCTGCTTGGTCAGTGGTCGATGCCAGTGCCCGGACTCGTGGAATATTCCAGGACCAGCCTTCGGGGGGAACCCGCGTGTGCACCAGGTGTGTGTAGGGCGAGAGCCCGGTACTTGCTCCAGGTGAAGCCCCAGCTCCTCCAAGGACTGTGCCGCGGGTAGATCAGGTTGGGAGGCCCCCGGCACAGGCTGGGGTGAAGACCTGAGCTACCTCTGGGAGTCCAGGAGAAAGCAGAGTGGTCTGCAGGTGGGTGACCACCGGGCTCCAGGACTGGCTCCGCCTGCTCTGCCCCTGCCCGCTGGTCCGTCCTTGGACCTCGCCAGGCAGCCGTGCTGAGCCCTCGCAGCGACAGTGCCCTGAGCTTGGGACACAGATGCCATCCTTGCTCTCAGTCCAGTGGGGAGATGTGGGGACAACTGGACAGTCAGCTGGAGATGCTCCCCCGCAGCACCGGAGCCGGCAGGAGCCTGGAAACCATAGCTCAGTGCCCCCAGGAGGGAGCCAGGCTCCGGGGAGGGAATGTGACCTCCCGAGCATGGCCAGGAGATGGTCCAGAGGGCCAGGACCCGGGCCTCCGGGTGCGGGCAGGTCAGCAGGGTTGTGCTGATGGCTGAACAGTGTGAGAAGCTCTGGGGCCTGGGTGTGGGGGCACAGAGGGGAGTGGGGGTGCAGAGCTGTTCTCACTGTGGGGACTAGAACCGAGCAGGCAGCTCCGAGGAGCTTCTCCCCCCAGCTCCTCCCCCACACCCAGCTCAGTCTCACACGCAGGCTCAAGCGATCATGACAACCTGGCAGGACACCCTTTCCTGGACTGAGAAGTGGTCTCCAAGGCTGTCGTGTTGCCGGGGAGGTGTATGCGGGTGACCGGGAACGTGTCTGCCCTGCACACCCCTCCTTGCTTCCTGATGGGCTCAGCTGCTGTGACCTGTGTTTCATGATCGCTCGTGAGGTGCTGCACTGCACAGCCCCTTCCCTTGCGATGTGCTATCAGGGCTTGTTCAACGAGAGAGCGAGCAACGAGAGGGAGGTGCCCAGTGCCACTCGGAGCAAGGAAACAGAAAGGGTAAGGGGTTCAAGTCAGGAGAGGAAGGGGGAGACGTGGAGGGAGACCCCAGGTTTGAGTCTGGAACCAGGCTGGTTCTTCTTCTGGAGATGCAGGCCCGTGGGGCATCCCCGACCCTTGTGACTGGCCACCTCCTGGTGGGCTCGGAATGCCAGGCACAGCCTGGGCACCATCCTCCCCTTTGGCCTTGGCTGAGGTCTGGGGATCTCTGTAAGCCTTGAGCTGGCCCTGCCGACACACCTGTTCTGTGGCCTGCAAGGGGAGGCACCTGCTGGGACTTGTTTGCAAAGCCGGCTTCGTGGAGCAGCGGGGATGTCTCAGGGGTTTGCTTCTGTCTCGGCGAAGCTCTTGGGACTGGGCAGGAAGCACGCAGGTTGCCTGGAGGGAGGGAGCTGAACTCTTTCCTTGCTGTGGGCCCAGGGGCCTTGCCTGGCCCAGCCCTGCCTCCCACAGACCCCGGGGCCTGTGCCTCAGGAGGGGTCTTGCCCTGCTGCCTCAGTCCCTCCTGCCTCCCAGCTCTAACTTCCAGCCTGTTGGCCCCCGGGCCAGCGTCTCAGCTTCCCCGTTCCCGCCAGTCATCTGCCGCCATGCCAGGCGAGCCCTTGGAGCTGAGCGGAGTGGGCATCACCCACCCCTTTCCTCTGCCCACACGCTGGCTGTGGCATTTGCCCGGGTATCTGGCGGTGGCCGTTAGGTTCCCCCTGGCATGAATATCTGACACGAGCATTTGCGTGCGCTGAAGATGCTTTTCTTGACGAAAACGCGGGAGCCCCGAGTCCATCCTTACTCAGACCGCAGCACCCGCCAAGGCTGGTCTGGGCCGCGGGCGGCTGCTTGGCCAGCGGCGGTGTGGAGAGGGCCTTTGCGTGAGCACGCAGAGCTGTGGGGCTCAGGATCGCCCCACAGGCCGAGAGGAGAACGTGTCCACCGGTCCCCTGGGGCCAGAAACGGGCCCCCAGTTCAAGGGGCACACACACCCACTCCTTGAAATTCTAGAGTCAGGTTTTGGACGAGCAAAGAAAGTCCTTTACTGAGGGAAACAGCCGGCCACGTGGGAATAATTCCCACCAGGAGCGGTCAGGGCGGAAAACCACGTGTGCACCAGACATCTAGGCTCACACTGGTCACTCTGCCAGGGGTGCCCTGGTGGCACCAGACCTGGGCGGAGGCCTGCCCGGTCCCCTCCCTCCTCCGTGGCTCCTCTTCCACCGGCAGCAGGCGGAGGTCAGAGCGGTGGGCTCACCGAAGCCCTCCCTGTGCTGTGTAGTCTCACGGGTTGGCTTGGTCCCAAGGCCAGGGGAAGGACAGACAGCCGCGCTGGTCTGGAGAGGTGCACACCAGATGCGGCATCTCTGACTGCCTCAAGGTCAGCGGGCAGAGTGGCCCTGCCTTGTGCCTTCCCAGCCCTCGCCAGGCTCCGCCATCCCCCTGAAGCACTGCTTGGGGCCTCGGGTGGACCCACACCGGCCATGCCCGCCCCCCAGCACGGCCCCACGGGGGGACACAGGACACGGCTCTGGGCTTCCGTGCGCACAGCGCCGGGTGTAGCCGGACGGACTTCCCACAGGCTGGGCGCCTTCACGCGGGCGGGCCCTGGACTTCATGGGACAGGCCTGCCTGTCCTTGTGCCCGCAGGTTCCGGCGGGAGTGGTCGTGTGCCCTCTGGGAGCCCGGGCGTTGTCATCCACGCGGTGCACTGCAGTCCGGAGAAAGTCACCGTCCTCAGCCAGACCTCACGGAAGTCGTTTTCTCCTGGGCTCTGGACTCCTGTTTCTGCTTCTGTCTGTTTACAGCACTCAGACACTTTCACGTCTGATGTGCTCTCGCTATAACACTGGGGGGACAGGGAGGGCAGCTGGCCCTGGCGGGAGTTCCCCCATTTTCCTCAGGACCCCAGATCCGAGGCAGGACTGCCAGTGAACACTTGGAGCCTGGGCTTGGGCCCCGCGGGAGGCCTGCAGCTGTTGGGACGCTGCCTCCTCCTGACAGTGTCCCCTCGCGCTCCGCACTCTGTCCCTTGGTGTGTGGGGCACGGGGTGGGGCAGAGCGGGGTCTCCGCCCGGAAGGCCATCTTCTAGGCTGAGGGTGGGATGTTGTTTCTGGCTCCTGCTCTGAGATCTTGGGGGAGGGGGGGCAGTGGGTGTGTGGGGCGTGGGGTGCGGGGGTAGGGGCAGAGGTTAAAAGACAGCCGTGTGCAGGCCCCCACGCAGTGTCGAGAAGCCGAGGGGTGTCTGTGCAGGGCTCGTCCACTCGCCGGGGGGCAGCCTCGCACTGGATCTGGGAGCCTGCCCTAGTTTCGGGTATTGTGGGTTAAAACAGTAACTACCTCATGGGCTCCCCCTGAGAGTTAGATGAGACATTGTATCTAAATGCCTGTCCTGTTCTATAGTAAACCCTCAGACTCACCAGTAATTATGTTGCCCCAGGCGACTTACTTAACCTCCCTGAGCCTCGAGGTCATCCCCTGTGAACTGAGAACCGTTAGCCGCACCTTCGAGGTTGATGAGTGTGGGCCCTCGTGCACAGTGGTCTCCGTGCCCTGCTGAGCCCTGCTTTCCCGGGACCGGCTGAGAAACCCGCTTCCCGAGCTGGCCCACAGCTCGGGAACGAGAGCCACCGGCGCCGGGCCCAGCTCTGTCCCTGTCCTCCCGGCGACCCTGAGGCTCCCTGGGACAATTCCGCCACGCGGGGGCCACCCGAAGAGGGAGGCATCATTGAAATAACCTCTTAGCACTACTGGGGACCCTGGAGGCCAAACCCTGCTATTTTAAAATCTAAGGAAGGATGTTCTTGCTTTGGGGTGATAGAAATGTTTCTTGTTGACATTAGGCAAGTCACCTAACTCTCTATGGAGCTGTTGTAGTGCATCCCTCATAATAAGGGTGTAAGGGTTAGCCATGCCTGGCACATAGTAAGTGCTCAGGAAGTACATATAGCCTGTCCTTGAATGATGGGATTTCACTCAGCGTTGTTTTGAGACAATGTTAAAAAGACAGGAGCCCTGGCCGGTTTGGCTCAGCGATGAGAGCATGGGCCCCGGGGACCAGAGAGTCCCGGGTTCGGTTCCTGCTAAGGGCACGTATCTCGGTTGCAGTTTGTCCCCGGCCCCAGTTGGGGTCGTGTGGGGGCGACCACTCGATGTGTCTCTCTCACGTCGATGTTCCTCTCTCTCTCTCCCTCCCACTCTGTCAGAAGATGAATGCAACAATGTCCTTGGGTGAGGATAAAAAAAAAGATGCCATGGGAACTTAACTCCTGTTACATCAGTCACTCTGTGGTAAATTGGTTTTGTTCTACGTCATGTCACTTAGAGTCACAGAGCCGCTTGCTGATGGGAAGTGGAGTTACCGTCTCAGTGTTAGCAACAGTGAGGGCTCATGACTGGGGGCCCGGACCACAGGGGTTGGTTGTGAGCTTCCAGGTCAGAGCACCCCACTTTGCCTTCAGAAGCCAGGGTGACATGGAGAAGCGGAGGGGAGCCCTGACCGCAGGAGCCAGCTGTCCTTGGGGCGACGCCCCTGTCACTTCAGAAGCAGGTGCACCAGGCATCGTTCTGCCATGTGGGCACACAGGCGAAGTGATGGGAGGCAGTTAGACGACAGAGGCCCGGGAGGGAGCCAGGTCGGCCACCTCTAAGACGCAGGCTGCCACTGGCCACCTGGAGAGCAAGACCGGTTCCGCAATGTGCCTGCCGGGCCGGGAGCTGACCTGGGCCCAGAGGGTCTCAGTCGGCCCGGCCCCTAAACCCGGTCAGCTCAGCCGAGTCTTGGTCGCTCTGTGTCTAAAATACAGCAGCGGGATTCGTGGATCGATCTGGGTGCTTCGGCCCTGGCGTCGTGGGAGGGCGAGGCCGGAGGTCTGAGTAGCTGAGGGAAACAGCAGTCTGGACGTGCCAGGGAGGTCGGGGGCAGGAGGCAGTACGGCCAGGGTCTGCGCTCAGCTGCCCACGAGACCGTGAGTCAGACCCCAGTTCAGATGTCAGCCGCTCCCAGGAGCCGTGAGGCTTCTCCCACGGTACACGTGACCAGCCACGCACACCTCACGGTGGGCAAGGATCTGGGTCCCGGAGAGAGGCGTATTCTTGGGGGTCCCTGGGAACCTGAATAGGGTCCCCTCTGCGTTCTCAGCGGGTGACTCCAAGAACCATTTTATCGAGGAGCAGGGAGAGGTGGCCCCCAATTCCTCCTCCCACAGCCGTGATGTACAGTGGGGTTTTCTCAAGGACTTTGTAGGCTCGGAGCGGGGCCAGGTCCCCTTATAGGGACTCACGAGGTGGGCCCCAGAGGCCACGGGTGGAAACTCATGGTCTCCACTTGCTCACACACGCGGACGGTATTGATACGCTGGTGAGTGGGAGCTCTGGGGACTGTCCCAGGACGAGGGGACAGGTGGGGGTGTGGGGCAGGTCGGGCTCCTCTGGATCAGGAGAGGGCAGAGGGTGCAGTGCCCTTGGCACCCTCCCGCTCGCAAGCCTCCCGGTGTCGGGAACCCCCTGCCCAGTGTCCCCAGCCCTCCCCTCTCCGAGGCTCAGTCTGCCCGCTGCTGCCCATGCCCGCGCCTCCGCCGCACATCCCGCCCTGGCCCGCGGGTCCCGGGCCAAGCAAGGTCCACTGGAGGGTCCCCCTGACTCTCGGGGCTGCTGGGGGCTGGGGGGGGGGCTCCAGGGCTCCATGGAGCTGTGTCCTGGGACCTCAGCCGCAGTTTTCCCTTCGCCCATGGGACCCGCTCCTGCCCACCCTACAGGGCTGCTCCAGGGGACAGTCCTGGGCCAAACCAAAGGAGCCCGTCCAGCTGGGGTGGGGCGGGGAGGTCATTTTCGGGGACTGTGCCCTCCTCCAGGTACAGGTAAGGGCTCACAGCCCGGCAAGGACCTCATTTTCCTGGGTTGGGGTGACCCCTAGTGGTCACTCAGAATGCCACAAGGGCTGCTCTGTGGCCCAGAATTCAGTCTCACCGGGCCATGGGGAGAAGTGGAGAATTAAGGCGGGTGGCCCAGGTGGTGTGGATGGAAGCCAAGAGAACCATCTTCTTGAACTTGAACTGAGGGTAACTGGAACCTTCTGCCTGGCCGAGCCTCCCTGCCCGTCCCGAGACTCCCCTTCCCCGGCTCCAGCCTGGGGGTTCCAGAGGGGTTTTATTAAGGGAGGTGGTGCCCCTCACACAGGTCTCTTCCTGCTCCCCGTGTCCCTGTCGCTGGAGGTGTCTGTGGGGAAGGCCACCACCATCTACGCTGTCAACGGCACGGAGATCCTGCTGCCCTGCACTTTCTCCAGCTGCTTCGGCTTCTACGACCTGGCCTTCTGGTGGTCTTACAACAGCAGTGACACATACAGGATCGTGAGTCATGGGGGACAGGGGAGGACAGGACACAGCAGACCCCCGTTGCTTAGCGCCTGCCTCCGTCCAGACCCCGGTCCCTGGGGAGCGGCCCCCGCGACGGTCCCCAGGACTCAGCGTTGCCACCCTTCTCGCCGCGCTCTGCAGAGCCAGCCTGGGAAGACCCCGGCGGGAGGGGCTCAGAGCGCGTGGCCGGGATTTGGGTCTGTTGGGGAGAGTTCTGGGCCAGGGCCCTGCTTAGTCTGGGGAAATACCCGAAGCTCGAGTTGCGTGTGTAAAATCAGTCATTTAATGTATAAAACAGGAGAGAGCAGGGCCCTGGGAAGGCTGGGAGAGGGGTGGGAAGAGGCCAAGCAGAAGGGCGGGGACCGGGCTTGGAAAGAAGGGAGAGGACGAGGAGAGGGCACCTGTAGGGGCGCCCCCAGGGCTGCGGGGGAGGGGTCAGGTGACAGGTGTTTACTGAGCACGGACATGGGGAAGCCACAGCGACCAGCTCCACACAGCTCGGTGCTGACCTCGGGGTGCTGACCGCGGGGTGCTGACCTCGGGGTGCTGACCGCAGGGTGCTGGCGGACAGTGCTGTGGGCTCGCTCCAGGGCGTGGGGCGGCCCGTTAGGGTGCGCAGGTGCCTGCGAGCGGACCTGGGGGCCTGGCAGGACGTCGCGTGGATCCGTGGTAGGTGTGGCACAGCCCAGGGAGACCTCCGGGAAGGAGCGTGGCTTTAGCCTGAGACAAGCCCAGCTCAGGTCAGACCGGCAGAGCCGCTGATACGGGAAGGGAAGCAAGAGGGAGGGAGCACCCCGACCACAGCTCCTCCTGCACAAGACAGGGCAGGGCCAGGGAGTGGGCTGCAGGGATGTCGTGACCCTGGAGGACCCCGCTTCTTTTTTTAAAATTTTGTTTATCCTCACCCAAGGACATTTTTGCATTTATCTTCAGATAGAGCGGGAGGGATAGAGGGGGGAAGAGAGAGAGAGAAACATTGATGTGAGAGAGACACATCGACTGGTCGCCACCTGCATGACCCAAGGGGGCCGGGGACAAACTGCAACCGAGGCATGTGCCCTTAGCGGGAACCGAACCTGGGTCTCTCTGGTCCGCGGGCCGACGCTCTAACCGCTGAGCCAAACCGGCCAGGGCGGACGCTGATTCTTTCGTGTCCACCCTCTGTTCCCCATCTGTCTCCCAGCTCATCAGAGGGACCGTGAAGAATGAGAAGTCAGACCCCAGGGTGCATGTGAAAAATGACGACCGCATCACTCTGGTGGGCTCCACCAAGGAGAAGATGAACAATGTCTCCATCACGCTGAAGGATGTGGACTTCGACGACACGGGCAAATACACCTGTCACGTGAAGAATCCCAAGGAGAAGGACCTCCAGCACCACGCCACCATCTTCCTCCAAGTGGTCGATAAACGTAGGCAGCGGGGCAGAGAGGAGGGCAGAGGAGGGGGAAGGACGGGGCACCCCGCTCAGGGTGCCGGGGGCACGGCACAGCGGACCGCACAGGAGCATTCTTTCACTTGGGTTCGATGCTGGCTGTGCCATGGACAGGGCTAGAGGCCACCGGGCAGCTTGTCCTGAGCCTGGCGTCAGTCACCTGAGTCGGGTCTGTGGAGGGTGTCGCCTCTTCCTCTCTGGGCGCCCCCACTTTGGGCTTCACCTGGCGGGAGGGAAGAGGAGGCGTCGGGGACTAAGGTGTGGGCACTTCTGCGTGTGAAGCCCTGAGTTAGATGCTCCTCACATATTTCAAGCTCATCTGCTCTTTGCTTCTGCGAATCCATTCATCCACTTCCCGGCACATCCTGACAGCGCCTCGCACGTGGCAGGCGCTGCTCTGCGTGCGGAGGTACAGCGCGCACAAGCCAGGCGGGCGCCGGCCCTCGGGAGACTGCTTCTGGCTGGGGAGGTGTGTGGGAAGCAGAGCAAAGAGGGAGATTTGAGTGTCTAGCAAACAGTGTAATTGAGCGTTAGAGAAAAACGAAGCGGGGAGGGAAATGTGGGGTGCTAGCAGGGTCACCAGGGAAGGTGACAGAGTGAGGACCTTGGAGGCGGCGAGAGAGGAAGCTGAGAGGGGCCGTTGGGAAGACGGCCCAGGCCCAGGGCACTGCACACGCACAAGCCCAGAGCCCTGTGCTTGACGGGCAAGGTGGCCGGTGTGCCGACCAGGGCGAGCAGGAAGAGACGCATCAGGTCGGGGCAGGCTGGGGCCTGCGGGTGGGGAGCCACGCAGGGCTCCGAGCAGAGGACCCCAGCTGCGGTGGCCCAGTCTGGTGGCCGTGCCAAGGACAGGTGGCCGAGTGAGGAAGCCAGTTAGGAGGAACGGCAGACGTCCAGGTAAGGGATGTGTTCGGCCGGAGTGGTGGTTAGAGGTCAGATTTTGGAAGTTAGGGCCATCAGGATTCTGAGGTGGACTAGGTACAGGGTTTGAGGAAAAGAGGAATCAGCCCTGCTGGTGTGGCTCAGTGGTTGAGCATCGACCCATGCACGGTCGCTGGTCCGATTCCTGGTCAGGGCACACGCCCAGGCTGTGGCCCGACCCCAGTGTGGGGCGTGCAGGAGGCAGCCCATTGATGTTCTCGCTCACCCATGTTTCTGTCTCTCTCTCCCTTCCTCTCTCTAAAATAAATAAAGAAAGAAAATTAAAGAAAAAAGGACCCAAGGGTGACTCTAAGCCTTGGAGTGTAAGGGTTTTGGGCAGAGCAACTAAAAAGCTGGAGGTTTTGTGAAGGGAGAGGGGAGAGGCTGTGGGTGGGGCAGGGTTATAGGGAGGCCAGGAGTCCACTTTCCAGATGAGAAAACAGAGGTGAGAAGGGCTCGGTGACCTGCTGGAGGTCACCCGCTCGTGGGTGGTGGCTGAGACCTGCAGCTCCGTGCAGACGGCCTCCAGCCTTCCCCGTCTGCGGACACAGGGAGTCCCCACGGCTTCTGCACAGGCAGGAGACACAGGGGATTTTGGGGGCCTCGTGGGGATTTTGGGGGCCCCGCGTCCGAATTGTTTTAGACCCTGCATGGTGCCTGTGGGGGGCGAGGGGAGGTCCCTCTGTGTGGCCCGGTGGGCCACCGTCCAGCTCCGCCGCCAGCCGTCAGGCCTGGGGGAGCCAGGCGCCTGGGCGGCCGTATCCCAGGTGCAGGGCTGCAGGCCGTGGTGCTCGGCGGTGACCCTGCTCCCTTGTCCCCCTCCGGCGCGCAGTGGAAGAGGTGGACAACACGGTGACGCTCATCATCCTGGCCGTCGTGGGCGGGGTCGTGGGGCTCCTCATCCTCATCCTGCTGGTCAAGAAGCTCGTCACCTTCATCCTCAAGAAGACGCAGGAGAAGAAGTAAGTGCCCTCGTCCTGCCGGCCCACCCCTGAGTCCGGCACGTCCTCGTCCTGCCATCCGCCCCAGCCTTCCTCCTGCCATCGTCCCCTCCCCCCCGCCTCCCTCTCCCGCCTCAGCCCCCCCCCCCCCCCGTGAGTCAGCCCGTTAGCTCTTCCTGCCCATCCCATGAGCCTCCCGCTTCCTACCGTGCCACCCCTGACCTACGTCCCACTACAGGATTTAGGAAGCTCTCCCTTTATTTATTTAAAAAAATATTTTTCTTTATTGATTTTAGAGAGAGAGGAAGGGAGAGGTAGAGAGAGAAACATTGATGAGCAAGAACATCGATGAACCGCCTCCTGCACGCCCTCCACTGGGGTTCGGGCCCACAACCTGGGCCTGTGCCCTGACCGGGAATCAAACCGGTGACCTCTGGGTGCAGGGTCCACACTCAACCACGGAGCCACACCGGCCACACCACACCCCCACCCTCACCCTCTTTAAATCAGAGAACATGAGATTCCATGTGCAGAAACCCTGAAATGGGAACGTCCTTCTGGGAGAGGGGTCTTTTATTGCAAAATTCTGAGACTTGAAATCGGGCAGAGGGAGAAGTCGGGGGAGGCAGGTCTGCCTCCACATCTCCAGGAGGGGGGGTGCAGAGGGTGGAAGCCCCCAGCCCAGAACTGGCAGGACAGGCTCCAAAGAGCAGGTGGGGTGGTGAGAAGCTGACGGGGAAGAGACTCCCAAGGACGTGAGCGGAGGCAGCCTGGACGGGAGCAGAGGTGACCGGGGGAGGCCTCTGTTTGCTGCGGTCATTCCCGGAGGAGGGGAGGGGCGGGCTGGGCGGGAGGAGGGTGCTCAGGATGCTGAGGCGCGGAGCCTCTGGCCTCTCGCCAGGCCCTGGCTGGGATGCGCGCTCTCGCGTGGTCTCTGCCTCACCGCACGGCTACCAAGGGTTCGGGGACACTCAGAGGGGCCGGAGCGTGGAGCAGGACCAGGTTCTGTTTTGTTTTGTTTTTTAATAGTTTTATTTTATTAAAAAAATTTTTTTCTTTTATTGATATTATAGAGAGTGGAAAGGAGAGGGAGAGAGAGCTAGAAACATCAATGAGAGAGAACATCCTTTGGCACCTCCTGCATGCCCCCCACTGGGGACGGGCCCACAACCTGGGCATGTGCCCTGACCGGGAGTCGAACCAGCGACCTCTTGGTGCAGGGTCGACGCTCAACCACTGAGCCCCACCGGCCAGGCTCACATTCTGTTCTTAACAACCAATATTGCTGTGGGGAGCAAAACTGGGGTGCAAAGCATTCAACACACAGTTTAAGAGCACTCAGAGAAGAAACTGATCCGTGGGCGCTAGGCAGGCTACGCGTCTTCTCACGGGGTCGGTGGGTCAGGAGACCCCCGCAGATGCAAACACGTCCTGGCATTCGTCACGTGACTCCGGTGGGTCTCCAGGCGTGTTTATATGCTATCCACAACTTTTACTTTACGGTTGAGCAAGGTGAAGGTCAGAGGGGTTACGGGTGACACAGCTACTAAGTGATAGAGCTGGGATTCGAACCCTGGACTGCCTGTCTTCAAAGCGTGAACCCTTGCCACCACACCTGCCGGTGCACGGGGAATCTGGAGCTCATGCGTTCATCCTCCCCCCCCCCCGCGGCTGTTTCCGAGCGCTGGACAGATGCTCAGGAGACACCCCGCCCTTAAGTGCGGGGTGGGAGCACCGATCGGGGTGATACAAGGTCGAGGGGATCCCTGGTGGCAAAGAGGTGATGGAATGCCGCAGGGGTTCAGGATTTCTGGCCAAAGGGATGTTTGTGGTCGGCCTTGCAAGATGGATAGAATTCGACCCTGGGGGTGAGGGGAAGGATGCTCTAGATGGGGGAACCGGAGAGAGAGGAGGTGGGAAGTCTGGGAAGGGGGTATGTGTCTGGAGAACAAGGCATTTGGTCTGTTGGGAGGTGTGGGAGGGAGGAAGGGGATAAGGACCCTGCACATGGGGTTGGGGCGGCACTTGGGGACCTGGGCGTCCAGGCTGAGATTGGCTTCTGGACTCAGGGGAGCTGGCACGACCAGAGGTCTTTGGAGGAAAGGTCAGAGTGGGCAGGGGATGTGCAGGCAGAGGCTGGGGGCGGGGCCAGGCCCTGGGCAGCGGAGGAGGCCCGAGAGGCAGGAGAGCCTGCGGCAGCGCAGAAGAGGGAGGGGCTGGACGGCTTCTTGGCATCGGACCTGCGGTTCCCGCTGCCTGGCAGGTCCGCGGCCCTGCTCGTCCGTCTTGGCCTCCGCTTACATGACACCCAAAGAGCCTTCCCCGACCCCGAGAAGGACTGTTTCCCACACTGTACCCCAGCGGCTTTAGAGTCAGCCCCGGAGAGTGTCCTGAGACCAGGCGGCAGTGGACCTGGGCGTCGTGTAGCCCGACGGCGCGAGGGGCCCGTGGGTTCTCAGCGCGGAAGCTGGATGGCAAAAGGGTGTCAGCTGACTCCACCCTACTCGGGCTCGGAGATGGACAGAGACACGGGCAGGCCCTCTCAGGGGCCCTCAGTGGCAGGCCCCGGGGCTCGGCTTGTCGCTGTTAACGTTCAGATTTGGACGACACCAGGAACAAGATACTTATCAGATTTCCAGGAACCTAGTCACCGAGAAGGGGAACAAAATTGGGATCGAGAAGGCTCTTCAGTGCCCTGGCCGTTTGGCCCAGCGGTTAGAGCATCGGCCCACAGACTAGAGAGACCTGGGTTTGGGCCTGCTAAGGGCATGCACCTTGGCTGCAGTTTGTCCCCGGCCCAGTTCGTGTTGTGTGGGTGGCAGCCAGTTGATGTGTCTCTCGCACATCGATGTTTCTCTCTCTCTTCCTCCCTCTCCCACTCTATCTGAAGATAAATGCAAAAAATGCCCTCAGGTGAGGATTAAAAAAAACAAAATAGGCTCCTCACAGGCTGCTGCAGGACGAATCGACGAGGACGGTGTTCAGTCCCTCCTGCAGGCCCCTGGCTGACCCAGGGTCAGGCTACAATGTGGCTTAGCAACAGCAGCTGTGAACAGCCTTGGAGACTGTCGGGAGCAGAAAGCGGGGTGATCTGGGCGCTGCCCAGGTGGGACACGCTGGACTTGGAGCTGCTCGGCACAGGGCAGCAGGTGGCAATGGGGGCCGTCTGCCCATGTAGCCATTTCTCCTGCTGCGTCCGGCCCTGACGCACCCCCTGCCCACACCTGAGTCCTCCAGCCAGGACCTCGGTTCTGCCCCCCACCCCCTCCCAGGGTCACAGCAGTTCAGGGAGGAAGGGCCTGGAGCCCTGGGGAAGGAGCTCTTGCCCCTGGCACACTGCCCGCCGGCTGGGACCCTTTCCCGGGGTTGACACAGCCTGGGAATGACCGTGGTGTGGCTGCCCCTCAGCACCGACACCTGGGAACAGTGCCCGGTACGCTCGCCTCCTGCCAGCCTTGCCGGGGCCCGTGGGTGCCAGGCTGTGAGGGCTCACCAGCCCTTCCTGCAGCCCAGGGGGGCGTCACTGGTCTGTGAGGTGGAGACACAGGCGCAGCGGTGAGGTGTCTTGGCCACTGGCCACCTTAGCTCTGAGGAAGGCCAGGCAGAGGGCCAGGCACGGGCCGCGGCTCCCTCTCCGCGGCTCGGTCCCCGACGGTCCCTGACGTCCCTGTGTCCCTCGCCCTCCCCAGGAAGGAGTGCCTGGTGAGCTCCTCGGGGAACGACAACACGGAGAACGGCCTGCCGGCCTCCAAGGCAGAAGAGAAGCCGCCCACCAAGGTGTGAGCCTGCGGTGGCCGCGCAGCGCTGGGCGCCCGTGACGAGGAGCCGCCGCGCCCAGCCCGGGACACCTGCTCCTGGCTCAGCGGGGCCCCGGGCCTGCCCACCCCTCCCCAGCTGGGGCTCCCCTGATCCGGGCTGGCTGGGGGGCGGTGGACGGTCCGGGCAAGAACGGCAGGGCTCAGGTGGTGCAGGGCAGATGGTGTTTAGGTCTCCCCACCCTGTACGGGCAGGGCCTTGGTTCCCCCCCACCTCTCTCTTCAGCAGAGACTTGGGGGGTCAGCGGGGGCTGCCGTGATGGCTGGGCCCTGTGTGTGGAGAGCCAACCCTCTGACGGTGGCCATGGCCTAAGGGACTCTGTGCAGGGTCTGGGGTGGGCGGTGCTGGCGGGAACTACCGTGACAGCTGTGATGGGTCCTGACCCCATGTCCCTCTAGCGGGTACTTCTCCTTACCCCCCAGCCCAGGGTGGCCGCCTGCCTGGGCCCGCGACCCTACTCCTCACCCCTGCTGCCCCGACTCTGAAGCCTCCCAGCTGGGGCTGCTGTCTGGGACTTTGGGGGTCCTGGCCCCCCTAGCCTGCTACTCCCATCTCTAGGCTGCGGAGGGGCTCAGGAGGGGGTGCCTCAGGCCTTCCCGAGACACGGGGGCCCAGCCTGCCCCTCCCCTAGCATTTCAGGCTGCAGAGGTGGGAGAGCCAGTGGCCCGGGCCTTTTGGCCACTGGAATGCCCACCCAGCCCTGCCGTGCTGGCCACCCCTCCTCCTTGGCATGGCAGGACCATCGCCACCCCCGGGACTCCTGAGCCTGGCTCTGCCCTGCTCTTTCCCTGCAGCAGCAGGTGGCATCGTCTGGCCCAGGTGTTCCGCGCCCCGCCCGGTGGGCTCGCCCCTCCCGTGACCTCCCCACAGCTTGTCCTTGACCAAGGTTGTCGATCAGCAGCCCTGGGTCAAGGGCTCGCCTTCAGCTCAGGGATCCTCTGCATCGGATGACAGTGCCCTTGTGTTGGCTGGCTGCTTCCCGCTCAGCTGCGCCCTCTCCCATGCCCGGGTCGGGGAGGAGCCGGGAGAGTGTGCCCGCGGTTCCTTTGCTTTCCCGAGAACTGGCTTGCACCCTGTGTGGGGCTAGACTGTGCCTTAGCTCCCGGTCCTCGCTCATACCCTCCTCCCTTCCGCCCGTACAGAGCAGCCCGCTCTGCTGTGGCGCCCCACCCGGGTCACGCCGGGGGCCAGGGAGCTGGCGTGCACCACCCGCAGCCCTCTGGCGGGTGACTGAGTCCTGGAGACGTCTGCCAGGTGCCCCACGGGCCTCAGCTTACCTGTTGGGGCGCCGGGCGTCTGAGAGAGAAGCAGCAGAGCAGGACCGAGCTCCTGACTCCACGCTCCACCTTGAGGCGGGGGGCGCTTCTCGGAAAGTTCGGTGGCTTGCTTCACTTGACTCTGTCCCAGGTCGGGGCCCCTACTCTCACCCCACTCCTGACATGTAGTGCTTTTGCCTATCGTATGCATGGTTGATTCCCTGGCTTGGATGACAACACTACCTGCAGTCAGTTTCCTAGAAACCACAGATCAGAACGACACAGTGGGGCCAGAGCCTCCGTGCCCCGTGCCCGTCGTGGGCACGGCTGAGCACACTCGGCACTGGCTGGTTCAAGCACAGGACGGGGGTGGGCGCATCAGCTCACCTTCGCACCGTCTGCATTTCAGGGTTTTCCTTGGCGTTGCCTTGGATGGAATAAACGTCGTGTTGAATAGACGTGGTCTGTGGCCTTTGCTTTCGGCTCACCGGGGGTGGGACTGGGTTCCAGTGGTGGTGTCTGCCAGCTGTCCCTGAGATGAGTTCTGTTTTTTTAAATTTTAATTTAATTTTTTAGAGAGAGAAGAAGGGCGAGGGAGAGAGAGAGAAACATCAATGAGAGAGAACAGTGATTGGCCGCCTCCTGCACGCCCCCCCGGGAATCAGGCCCACAACCTGGGCATGTGCCCTGACTGGGAGTCGAACCAGCGACCTCTTGGTGCAGGGTGGACGCTCAGCCCCTGAGCCACACCGGCCGGGCGGGATGAGTTTTTACTTCCGTGAGCCTCACCTCAGTCTCGGGGGCTCCGTGTTACCTGCCCAGGTGCGCTGTCACACGCAGGGGCCGGAGGATGAGGCCTTACTCACTGGCATCTCAACCATATTAGTCCGATCCTGCGGGGAGCTTGGCAAGGTGGTTACTTACCGAAATCATTGCCACGGCCCTCCCTGGACCCACGACCTGGGTAGTAATTCTGTCCCCACTAAATGCCACCCCGTCCCCTTCAGTCCCCGCCCCAGGAGAAATCTGCTTCAAGGGAACACCGCACCCTCAGAGAGGGACGGGGCGAGACAGCTCCCCGGCTGGCTGGCTGTCCCAGGGACGGGCTATGTGGGGGTGGGGGAGGAAGCTTGGGCTGATACCCCCGGAATGACTCTGCCATTCCCGGTTCATGTCCATCTTAAATGATTTTAGCCTGGACGACCCACGTCCCCCGCGTTCAGAGGCGTTTCCTGCTGCTGGATGTCGGCCAGGCCGAGGAGGAATCCAGGTCGCACGTGTGTGTCTGTGTATCTGCTTATGTTCTTGGGCTGGATCACACCCCGACTCTTCGTACCACAACCTCTCTTCAGCAGACTCACCTTCGACGGCATTTCAGGGACGCAGCCGGTGGGTGGGAAGGAGCGGAGAAAGACGAGGTGTTGTCAGGGCGACGGGCCAGGCCTGAGGAGGGTCACAGAGACGGGACAGGTGACAGGAGGCAGCTGTGGCTGAAGCACGGACGTGGGGGCCGGAGACGAGGAGGCAGGGAAGGCGGGACCCAGGTCTCGCGGGGCTTGGAGGTGGTTCACGTTTTATTCTGTAGGCGACGGGGAGCCATTGGAGAGACAGCAGGGGAGAGACAGGACGAAGCTGGAGAGGGCGGCCAGGCCACAGGGAGCATTGGGGGCCACGGTGGTGGCACAGCCGAGACAAGGCAGGAAGGGGAGAAGAGAAGCACCGAGCTGGGGTATTGTGGAAAGAAGAATACCCAGAGCTCAATTTTGGGGGGCCGAGAGAAGGGATGGGGAGGACTTCTGAGATACCCCTGTGCAGGACTGTGCCCTTGGTGCACGTGTGCCCTGCAGGGAGACAGAGCAGCGTGCCCGCAGGAGGGGCCAGTGCCCGTGTGCGTGCCAAGATCCCCCGCGGGAGGGCCCGGTGCCCGTGTGCGTGCCGAGTGCGCCCGCAGGAGGGGCCAGTGCCCGTGTGCGTGCCGAGTTCCCCTGCAGGAGGGGCTAGTGCCCGTGTGCGTGCCGAGTGCGCCCGCAGGAGGGGCCGGTGCCCGTGTGCGTGCCGAGTGCGCCCGCGGGAGGGGCCGGTGCCCGTGTGCGTGCCGAGTGCGCCCGCAGGAGGGGCCGGTGCCCGTGTGCGTGCCGAGTTCCCCTGCAGGAGGGGCTAGTGCCCGTGTGCGTGCCGAGTGCGCCCGCAGGAGGGGCCGGTGCCCGTGTGCGTGCCGAGTGCGCCCGCGGGAGGGGCCGGTGCCCTGTGCGTGCCGAGTGCGCCCGCGGGAGGGGCCGGTGCTCCCGTGTGCGGTGCGAGTTCCCCTGCAGGAGGGGCTAGTGCCCGTGTCGTCCGTTTCTCCTGCAGGAGGGCTAGTGCCCGTGGCGGCCGAGTCGGCCCCGCGGGAGGGCCAGTGCCCTGTGCGTGCCGAGTGCGCCCCCGCGGAGGGGCCAGTGCCCTTTTGCGTGCCAAGAGGTTCCCCTGCAGGAGGGCTAGTGCCCGGTGTGCGTGCCGAGTGCGCCCGGCGGGGAGGGGCCATTTGCCCTGTGCGTGCCGAGTGCGCCGCGGAGGGGGCCGGTGCCCGTGTGCGTGCCGAGTTCCCCGGCAGGAGCGGGGCCATGCCCTGTGCGTGAGAGATGCGCCCGCGGGAGGGCCGGTGCCCGTGTGCGTGCCGAGTGCGCCCGGGGAGGGGCCGGTGCCCGTGTGCGTGCCGAGTGCCCCTCCGGAGGGGCCCGGTGCCCGTGTGCGTGCCGAGGCGCCCGGCGGGAGGGGCCCGGGCCCTGTGCGTGCCGAGTGCGCCCGCGGGAGGGGCCAGTGCCCGTGTGCGTGCCGAGTGCGCCCGCGGGAGGGGCCGGTGCCCGTGTGCGTGCCGAGTGCGCCCGCGGGAGGGGCCAGTGCCCGTGTGCGTGCCGAGTGCGCCCGCGGGAGGGGCCAGTGCCCGTGTGCGTGCCGAGTGCGCCCGCGGGAGGGGCCAGTGCCCTGTGCGTGCCGAGTGCGCCCGCGGGAGGGGCCAGTGCCCGTGTGCGTGCCGAGTGCGCCCACAGGAGGGGCCGGTGCCCGTGTGCGTGCCGAGTTCCCCTGCAGGAGGGGCTAGTGCCCGTGTGCGTGCCGAGTGCGCCCGCGGGAGGGGCCGGTGCCCGTGTGCGTGCCGAGTGCGCCCGCGGGAGGGGCCAGTGCCCGTGTGCGTGCCGAGTGCGCCCGCGGGAGGGGCCAGTGCCCGTGTGCGTGCCGAGTGCGCCCGCGGGAGGGGCCAGTGCCCGTGTGCGTGCCGAGTGCGCCCGGGGAAGGGGCCAGTGCCCGTGTGCGTGCCGAGTGCGCCTGGGGGAGGGGCCAGTGCCCGTGTGCGTGCCGAGTGCGCCCGCAGGACACCAGAACAGGAGACAGTTGTAAAGAAGAGCTTAGGGCTTAGGCCTCAGTGGTCTGCTCAGACCCTGGGGAACCTTGGATTCTGACATGCAGGGGTGTTGGAGGAGGGGAGGTCATAAGGAGGCTGAGGGCCCACGGGAAAGGCAGAGTGACGTCTCTGAGGTCAAGGGAGCAAGAAGTGTTAAGAACAGAATGGCCATCACTGAGGCAAGGATCAGTCCTTACGCAGGTCACCGGCCACTTCAGGGGGCTCAGCACAGTGGAATGGGGTGGGTGGCAGGGGGGCTGACATTTGATTCCGTGGGGGAGGGCATCATCATGTGAGGTTACCAGTTCAAGTAAGGGGGCTGTGCAGGTAGAGAGGGCATGGCCCAAGTGGGAAGGAGGGGGATGGTTTCTTCTTCAGGTGGAAGACATCGAAGCAGGGTTCAAAGAGTGGGAAAGGCTGTGGTAGCTGAGACAGACTAAAGAACCGTTTGGGAGGACCGAGAGGATGGGACCCAGAGACCAGGTGGACTGACTGGCTCTAGACAGGTGGGGTCACACCTCTGCCATGACAACAGGGAAAAGGGGTCCGGGAGAAATGGATGTGGGTCAGTCTGTAGGGGGTGGGGCGGGCAGGGCAAGAGACGGAGAGATGTTGCCTCACGGTCCGGTGCCTATTCTGTTATCAGACTATTTGCAGAGCAGACTTAAGACTGAAGCCAGAGACAGCTCAAGATCCTCCCAATTTGGGGACCCCAATACCCCATGTGCTCAAGTGGATGGCTATTCCCTTTCCGGCGTTCTAACCATGCCCGCACGCCCTGTGACAGAAGCAGCACCCACGGCGAGATCACGGGTC